CTAAAAGTGAGCAGAGTAGGCGATAGTCTTATAAATTAAGGAAGAGAGTTCCAGAGGCTGGGGGAAGCTCTGGAGAAGTCCTGGAGATGAGCATGGGAGGAGACAAGGGAGCTAGAGAGTAGGAGGTCTTGCGAGGAGTGGAGAGGACGGTTTGGGTGATATTTGGAGACAAGATCGGTGATGTAATTTGGGGCGGAGTTATAAATGGCTTTATACGTTATTGTTAATGTTTTGAATGTTATCCATTGGGCAACAGGAAGCCAGTGCAGGGATTGGCAGAGAGGGGTGGAGGACACTGAGTGGAGGGATTGGCAGAGAAGGATGGAGGACACTGAGTGGAGGCCAGTGGAGGGATTGGCAGAGAGGGATGGAGGACACTGAGTGGAGGCCAGTGGAGGGATTGGCAGAGAGGGATGGAGGACACTGAGTGGAGGCCAGTGGAGGGATTGGCAGAGAGGGATGGAGGACACTGAGTGGAGGTCAGTGGAGGGATTTACAGAGAGGGATGGAGGACGCTGAGTGGAGGCCAGTGGAGGGATTGGCAGAGAGGGATGGAGGACGCTGAGTGGAGGCCAGTGAAGGGATTGGCAGAGAGGGATGGAGGACACTGAATGGAGGTCAGTGGAGGGATTGGCAGAGAGGGATGGAGGACACTGAATGTTGGTCAGTGGAGGGATTGGCAGAGAGGGATGGAGGACACTGAGTGGAGGCCAGTGGAGGGATTGGCAGAGAGGGATGGCAGATATGGAACGGTTAGTAAGGTGGATGAGTCTGGCAGCAGCAATCATGATAGACTGAAGAGGGGATAGCCTGCGATGAGGTCAGCCAATGAGGAGGGAGTTACAATAGTCAACCTACTCAACCTTCTCTGAGATCTGGCAGGAAGTAGAATGACGCCACTCTTGCCTAGGCTCAGCAGGAAGTCAGGAATAAATTTAGTCAAGGTAAGTATATTATCTACCAATTTTCCCACAATGGGTTTTTATTCCTTACTTGCACTTTCATCCAGCGTTTTGGGTGGGGAGGCCTGAACAGGCGGACTTTGTATTCGGTTTGCTTTCAGTCATCCCTTTTTTTTTGTTCCTAAGAGAACTTACAGCTCCGGCTCCACATTGACAGGGAGAATATAAAATGCATCTGTAAGCTGTAACTTCCGTATCAGAAAGGAATCAACAGTAACATCTCCAAATCACCTGCAATATCCATAAATCTACTTTGTGCCGGATTACTATGTAACTCCACAACTTCCATAACTTATAAAAAAGAGATACAATCAGGAAGAACGCCTCACGTCTGATTCTTTACGGTTATGTTATACGGCCGTCATGGCGCAGGAAATAATGGGAAAACAACCACGTAACGCCGAACATAAAACATTGATGAATCGATCGCTCTTTTTGCTTTTTATGCACATTTTTCCTTTGTAAATTTTTACGAACAAAGAAAAGAGCAGATATATTTGTTGCTATAATTTTCCCGCCGCGGAGAACCCTACAGCCATAAGCAGCAGCGCGGGGAGGCTCCTAAATCAGGCTCGGCGAAATAAACCGCGACGTTGTCAGTCTGACATTAGTGATGGCCGCCGACGTCGGTTTTGTGCTCCAAAACGATTCCGCAGTTCAGTTCTAATTTTCTGATCTTATTTATAAACGAAGAAAAGAAATTAGAAGCAGGCTGCAGTGTTACCTACCTGATTTCCCTTTACTATCATCCGGAGCTGTCAGATTCAGCAAGCCTTTCATAGTGCTTCTGAGAGGGAAAGCAGAACCCTTTATCATAATATGTTATTTGGGTATTTTTACAGATTTATGTCATCCTTAAAATGCAATTAGATTTGCTAAAGTACTTTGTTTAAAAATAATTTCCATTTTTTTTAAAGATAAAATACTGTTTTTTGCCTTTTTTACATCCTTTGTTGTATTTCAGTGATGCTGAAGGGTAACCACTTCCTGTCTGCATGCACACCCGCAGTGGCTGCATGGCATTTCTCAAGTCGGGTTTCTCGATGGTGACAACAGTGGGGCATGGTTAATTGTAGGGACAGAGTGTTGTCACCCTACAATAGGAAGTGTCTGAAAAAAGATCTTTCTGGAAGGATCACTAAATATTAATTTATTGAAAACTGAAGATTGAAAAACATAGAAAATGATTCTTAAAATTAAATTAGCATGTTAAGTATATTTGATGAGCTTGTGGGAAGGGAGCAGGTTTTGGGGTGTTGCCATGTGTACCCTCCCTCATTCCATAATAGATTGTAAGCTCTTCCACCGTGTGTACCCTCCCCATTCCATAATAGATCGTAAGCTCTTCCACCGTGTGTACCCTCCCTCATTCCATAATAGTGTAAGCTCTTCCACCTTGTGTACCCTCCCTCATTCAGTAATAGATTGTAAGCTCTTCCACCTTGTGTACCCTCCCTCATTCCATAATAGATCGTAAGCTCTTCCACCTTGTGTACCCTCCCCCATTCCATAATAGATTGTAAGCTCTTCCACCTTGTTACCCTCCCCCATTCCATAATAGATCGTAAGCTCTTCCACCTTGTGTACCCTCCCTCATTCAGTAATAGATTGTAAGCTCTTCCACCTTGTGTACCCTCCCTCATTCCATAATAGATCGTAAGCTCTTCCACCTTGTGTACCCTCCCTCATTCCATAATAGATTGTAAGCTCTTCCACCTTGTGTACCCTCCCTCATTCCATAGCAGATTGTAAGCTCTTCCACCGTGTGTACCCTCCCTCATTCCGTAATAGATTGTAAGCTCTTCCACCGTGTGTACCCTCCCTCATTCCGTAATAGATTGTAAGCTCTTCCACCGTGTGTACCCTCCCTCATTCCGTAATAGATTGTAAGCTCTTCCACCTTGTGTACCCTCCCTCATTCCATAATAGATTGTAAGCTCTTCCACCTTGTGTACCCTCCCTCATTCCATAGTAGATCGTAAGCTCTTCTACCTTGTGTACCCTCCCTCATTCCGTAATAGATTGTAAGCTCTTCCACCTTGTGTACCCTCCCTCATTCCATAGCAGATTGTAAGCTCTTCCACCTTGCGTACCCTCCCTCATTCCATAATAGATTGTAAGCTCTTCCACCTTGTGTACCCTCCCTCATTCCATAGTAGATCGTAAGCTCTTCTACCTTGTGTACCCTCCCTCATTCCGTAATAGATTGTAAGCTCTTCCACCTTGTCTACCCTCCCTCATTCCGCAATAGATTGTAAGCTCTTCCACCTTGTGTACCCTCCCTCATTCCATAGCAGATTGTAAGCTCTTCCACCGTGTGTACCCTCCCTCATTCCATGATAGATTGTAAGCTCTTCCACCGTGTGTACCCTCCCTCATTCCGTAATAGATTGTAAGCTCTTCCACCTTATGTACCCTCCCTCATTCCGTAATAGATTGTAAGCTCTTCCACCTTGTGTACCCTCCCTCATTCTGTAATAGATTGTAAGCTCTTCCACCTTGTGTACCCTCCCTCATTCCATAATAGATTGTAAGCTCTTCCACCTTATGTACCCTCCCTCATTCCATAATAGATTGTAAGCTCTTCCACCGTGTGTACCCTCCCTCATTCCATAATAGATTGTAAGCTCTTCCACCGTGTGTAACCTGTGATTGACAGCCGCAGCTCTGTACCTGTGTGCTGTGTGAAATGGGGGGGGTGTCCCTTCCCTCCAATCAGCTCTCAGGGCTCTCCTCACTGAGCTCTGCAGAGTGTCATTTCAGCTCTCCGCCCCCTTTTTTTTTCTCTCACTCAGACAAGCTTTTACATTCTGGACTTTGAATGACTGTAGAGAAGAGAAGTCCATAGATAAACAGGTACAACTTACTTAGGAGGATTAGTTTTCATCTCTGTGTATCACCTGAGGGCAGTCACTTTTCTTGGTATACAGAAGGGTTTACAACCACTTTAAGTAAAACAAAAAACCAAGAAGCCATGTAGCCAGCGTGCCCATGAAACACCGTATCAAGCTTTAAGAAATACTTTACAACTCTGAAAACGCAGTGGATAGCCGAAGCTTCCAGGGCAGCACAGAAAAAAAAAAAAAACTATTTGTAATTTCAACGATATTTGGAAAAGTCTTCTATCAGCCGGCGTGGCGGGGTGAAATTTCCATATATCATGTAAATAACATTTGCATAAATTCTTCATTACAGCCGTTTAATCTCATTATTATAGGTAATCAGATTTCAGCCTTTCATTTTATTCTGATTAAGTACAAAATATACATCTACATTTTCACAAATAAACTCCCGGTTCGGAAAAAATATTGAAATTCATCAAAGAAATGGGGAAACTTGCACTAAAATATACTTTATTGATTTTGTAAGCTGAACTCCAACAAAAAAGCTAAATACACCCATGAAATACATAGATGGGAGCTTCTTGGATGTGTATGGAGGAGCTCCTGGTACGAAGGTTCATCTCACTTGAAGACCTTTTTGAAACAGAACCACTTCCTTACCGGGTCAGTTCCGACCCTTCTCTCATACAGTATATGTAAAAAAATCAATACTTTTTTTGCTAGAAAATCACTTCAATTTTTTTTTTTTTTAGCAGAGACCCTAGAGATGAAAATAGCAGGCGCTGCATTTTTTTATATCTGATATCCATCTGGCACCATTATCTTACAGCTACAGAGGTTGGGCTCCAACAAGCGCACCCTATATAATATACATTTTCTGCATTTATTTATATCATGTGGTATTTGCGCGCAGCGATTTTCTAAACTGATCTTTTTTGGGTAAAAAATACACTTTAACCACTTCAAGTCCGGACACTTTCACCCCCTTCCTGTCCGGACACTTTCACCCCCTTCCAGTCCGGACACTTTCACCCCCTTCCAGTCCGGACACTTTCCCCCCCCTTCCAGTCCGGACACTTTCACCCCCACTTCCAGTCCGGACACTTTCCCCCCCTTCCAGTCCGGACACTTTCACCCCCTTCCAGTCTGGACACTTTCACCCCCCTTCCAGTCCGGACACTTTCCCCCCCCTTCCAGTCCGGACACTTTCCCCCCCTTCCAGTCCGGACACTTTCCCCCCCTTCCAGTCCGGACACTTTCACCCCCTTCCAGTCCGGACACTTTCACCCCCTTCCAGTCCGGACACTTTCACCCCCCTTCCAGTCCGGACACTTTCCCCCCCCTTCCAGTCCGGACACTTTCACCCCCTTCCAGTCCGGACACTTTCACCCCCCTTCCAGTCTGGACACTTTCACCCCCTTCCAGTCCGGACACTTTCCCCCCCCTTCCAGTCCGGACACTTTCACCCCCCTTTCCAGTCCGGACACTTTCCCCCCCTTCCAGTCCGGACACTTTCACCCCCCTTCCAGTCCGGACACTTTCACCCCCCTCCAGTCCGGACACTTTCACCCCCCTTCCCTTCCCCCCCCTCCAGTCCGGACACTTTTCACCCCCTTCCAGTCCGGACACTTTTCACCCCCTTCCAGTCCGGACACTTTCATCCACCCCCTCCACCACTTTCCCCCCCTTCCAGTCCGGACACTTTCACCCCCTTCCAGTCCGGACACTTTCACCCCCTTCCAGTCCGGACACTTTCACCCCCCTTCCAGTCCGGGACACATTCACCCCCTCAAACCCACATCAAAAAACAGACTCACACTCTCACAGTCCGGACACTTTCCTCCCCTTACAGTCCAAAAACACTTTCACCCCCTTCCAGTCCGGACACTTTCACCCCCCCCCCCCCATCCAGTCCGGACACTTTCCCCCCCCTTCCAGTCCGGACACTTTCACCCCCTTCCAGTCCGGACACTTTCACCCCCTTCCAGTCCGGACACTCTCACCCCCCCCTTCCAGTCCGGACACTTTCACCCCCTTCCAGTCCGGACACTTTCAGTCCGGACACTTTCCCCCCTTCCAGTCCGGACACTTTCCTCCCCTTCCAGTCCAAACACTTTCACCCCCTTCCAGTCCGGACACTTTCACCCCCTTCCAGTCCGGACACTCCCCCCCCTTCCCCCCCTCCAGTCCGGACACTTTCACCCCCTTCCAGTCCGGACACTTTCTCACCCCCTTCCAGTCCGGACACTTCTCACCCCCCCTTCCAGTCCGGACACTTTCACCCCCTTCCAGTCCGGACACTCTCCCCCCTTCCAGTCCCCCCCCCCCCCTCCAGTCCGGACACTTTCACTCCCTTCCAGTCCGGACACTTTCCCCCCCTTCCAGTCCGGACACTCCCCCCCCCCTTCCAGTCCGGACACTTTCCCCCCCCTTCCAGTCCGGACACTTTCACCCCACTTCCAGTCCGGACACTTTCCCCCCCCCTTCCAGTCCGGACACTTTCACCCCACTTCCAGTCCGGACACTTTCACCCCCCTTCCAGTCTGGACACTTTCACCCCACTTCCAGTCCGGACACTTTCCCCCCCTTCCAGTCCGGACACTTTCCCCCCCTTCCAGTCCGGACACTTTCCCCCCCTTCCAGTCCGGACACTTTCCCCCCCCTTCCAGTCCGGACACTTTCCCCCCCCCTTCCAGTCCGGACACTTTCACCCCCCCTTCCAGTCCGGACACTTTCACCCCCTTCCAGTCCGGACACTTTCACCCCCCCCCTTCCAGTCCGGACACTTTCTACTCCTTCCAGTCCGGACACTTTCCCCCCCTTCCAGTCCGGACACTTTCCCCCCCTTCCAGTCCGGACACTTTCACCGCCTTCCAGTCAAGACACTTTCACCCCCTTCCAGTCCAGGCCAATTTTCAGCTTTCAGCGCTATCGCACTTTGAATTGCGCGGTCATGCAACATTGTACCCATATGATTTTTTTAGCATTTTTTTGAGACAGATAGAACTTTATTTTGGTATTTATTCACCGCTGGGATTTTTATTTTTTTGTTATATAAATGAAAAAGTCCAAACATTTTGAAAAAAAAGTGTTTTTCTTATAAAATTTTGCAAATAAATAATCTTTCTTCATAAATCTTGGCCAAAATGTGTTCAGCTGTCTTTTTAGTAAAATAAAATAACCCAAATTAGTTTATAACCAAAAATTATAATTTAAAAAAAATTGTTTTACATTTTAATTTTTTTTTTGTATAATTACTTAGGTGTTTTTTTTAACATGCTGTCACCCTAGCAGTATAGTGCCACCATAGTGACACTGTACTACTTGTGGGGGGTTAAATAAGATTTTTTTTATCTTTTTTACACTGATTGCTTTTCCATTCATAAAGGCTGTAAAAGCAATCATTCCTTCTTATCTCTGGCTGCATTTGTGCAGCCATTGAAAAATACTGTGTGAGCTGTGATTGGTCACAGCTTGTCACATGGTACAAGGCTGTTGAGAATAGCCCTGTACCAGGGGCGGACTGACCATTCAAGCACTCGGGCACTGCCCGAGGGCCTGGGCTCAGTAGGGGGCCCCATGAGATGCCCCTGGTACCTTTCATTGGCTTTTTCATAGGCTTTTTTGGGTGTGGGCGAGGACACAGGGGCCCCATGATCCCCTTATTGCCCAGGGGCCCCATGAGTTGCCAGTCCACCCCTGCCCTGTACCATGTGATCTCTGTGATCATTCACAGATTTCACTAGTAGTAAGCAATGATGTCAGGAAGTGACATCTTGTTTACTACTATTGATGTGATAACTGACTGGCCAATCAGTGATCACATGAATCGGGACCTCACACAGTGATTGGTGTTCCATTGTGTCTTCCGGATACAGCGGGCACCAATCGCAGTGCCACGTGTTCCCAGGGAGCGCGCACAGGCAATGGATGCAGGGGTACGTTTAAAAACATTCACCCGCATCGGCAGTGCTCCCGTCCGGCCGTTTATTGACATGGGCCAGACGGTAAAAGGTTAATGAATAAAAAACAAAACACAATATATAAACTCATTTTTGGTAGCAGAGGCCCTAGAGAATGAAATAGCGGTGACTGCAAATTTTTATGTCACGTGGTATTTGCGCAGCGATTTTTCAAACTGATTTTGTTGGGGAAAACATACACCTTAATGAGTTTAAAAAAACAAAACAATATATAACTCAATTGTTTTGTAAAATATGAAAGATGATGTTATGCCGAGTAAATAGATACCAAACATGTCATGTTTTAAAATTGTGCACGCTCGTGGAATGGCGCCAAAACTACGGTACTTAAAAAATCTCCATATGCGATGCTTTAAAAATTTCTACAGGTTACGAGCTACAGAGGAGATCTAGTGCTAGAAGTATTGCTCTCGCTCTGATGTTTGCAGTGATACCTCACATGTTTGAACACCATTTCCATATGTGGGTGTGGCCTACGTATGCGTTCACCACTGTGCGTGAGCACGGGTGATAGAATTGTTTTAATTTTTTTTTATTACATTTTTTTTTATTTTTATACTGTCCCTTTACATTTTTTTATCACTTTTATTCCTATCACAAGGAACATAAACATCCCTTGTGCTAGAAATAAGTAATGACAGGTCCTCTTTATGGAGAGATTTGGGGTCATCTATCCTCTACAATGTAATGCATTAGATTTAAAAAAAAAAAAAGCATTGATCCAATACTTGAAAATAATGGCCTTGTTTACATCAGGCCAGAACCGGAAGTGACGCAATGACGTCGCTCCGGTTCTCCTAGGCCAGGGGTAGGCAACCTGCGGCTCTCTAGCTGTTGTGGAACTACATTTCCCATGAGGTATTGCAAAGATTACAGAACTGACAGTTACAGCTATGACTTGCAGAGGCATGATGGAACTTGTAGTCCTGCGGCTCTCAGGTTGCCTACCCCTGTCCTAGGCCATAGAAATGAGTGGAGGCCATCTTTCCTTCACTCATCTCTATGCCCAGCCACCACGGTCATCAGATCAGTTCTCGGCATCATGGATAATCCAGGTAAGCCCAAGAACCACCGAAACGCAGCAGAGAGGCGGGGGGGGGGGGGACACCCCACCCACTGCTTCTAAAAGTGATCCAGCGGCAAATCTGCTGCTAGGATCACTTTTAGCAAGAAGGGAATCGCTGGGGTTACTGTATAATAATATAAAAATAATGTATTTATTTCAGGTACTTATATAGCGCTGTCAATTTACACAGCACTTTACATATATATTGTACATTCACATCAGTCCCTGACCCTCAAGGGGCGTACAATCTAAGGTCCCTAACCCTCAAGGGGCGTACAATCTAAGGTCCCTAACTCACATTCATACATACACATACTAGGGACAATTTAGACAGGAGCCAATTAACCTACCAGCATGTCTTTGGAGTGTGGGAGGAAACCGGAGTACCCGGAGGAAACCCACACAGGCAGAACATGCAAACTCCAGGCAGGTGGTGCCGTGGTTGGGATTCAAACCAACGACCCGAGTACTGCCAGGCGGAAGTGCTAACCACTTAGCCTCCGTGCTGCCCATGTGATGCTAAATTTTCCATGTCTGCAATGCAAAGCATTATGGCTGCAACGTATAAGCAGCCTCTTCCGGCTGTTGTTTGGACTTTAGGTGGGAATTTGTTGCGCAATTTACATTAATTTCCACGCTTTCAAGTGAATGGGCTGCCTTGTGCATGTTTGTCTCGTTGAAGAAGCCCACGTACCCAGGGGTGGACTGACAATTCATGGGGCCCCCGGGCAATAGGGAATCATGGGGCCCTGTGTCCTCGCCCAAACTCAAACTACACTCAAAAAAGCCTAAGAAAGGTGTCACTCTAGACTCAAATCTGTCCTTACAACCCCATGTCCAATCGCTGGCAAACTCATGAGGCTCCACCTCCTCAACATCTCCAAGATACATTCGTTCCTAACCCCAGACACTACTAAACTACTCATTCACGCCCTTATTATCTCACGACTCGGCCTACCTCAACACAGACTATCCCCGCTTCAGTCTATCCTGAACTCAGCGGCCAGACTCATCCACCTTACCAACCGCTCCTCTGCTGCCACCCCCCTCTGTCATTCCCTCCACTGGCCTCCACTCAGTGTCCTCCACCCCTCTCTGCCAATCCACTCCACTGGCCTCCACCCCTCAGTGTCCTCCACCCCTCTCTGCCATTCCACTCCTCCACTGGCCTCCACTCAGTCCACTCCTCCACCCCTCTCTGCCAATCCCCACTCCCTCCACTGCCAATCCCTCCACTGGCCTCCACTCAGTGTCCTCCATCCCCATCTCTGCCAAGTCCCTCCACTGGTGTCTCCCGATTGCCCGAGGCATTACATTCAAACTACTAACACTGACATACAAGGCCATTCATAACGCTGCCCCAAACTACCTCACTGACCTGATACCCAAATACCTCCCAACCCGTAATCTTCGCTCCTCACCAGACCTCCTACTTTCTGGCTCCTTGGTCTCCACCTCCCACGCCCGACTGCAGGACTTCTCCAGGACTTCTCCCATCCTCTGGAACTCACTACCTCAATCCATCAGACTGTCACCTACCCTCCTCACCTTCAGGCGCTCCCTGAAAACCCATCTCTTCAGGGAAGCCTACCCCGCCCTCACCTAACAGCCGATCTCCTCCACTCCTCCTACCACTCCATCCCCCACAGCCACTTCCTCCTGTACCGCTATCCCCTCCCTCCTAGATTGTAAGCTCCAAGGAGCAGGGCCCTCCAACCCCTCGTGTATTGTATTGTACTGTATTGTCTCATGTTCTTTCCCCCACTATTTTGTACAGCGCAGAGAAAACCTTTTGGCGCTATATAAATACTGTATAATAATAATAATAACTAGAAAAGCTACAATTTCTGGGGAAATTGTGTGAAGTGTTCTTGCCTCCACCAATAGTCTACAACTGGAGAGGGCGGAGTAACTGGGTGGAGTGGCTTGAAAATGAGGGAGTGATGGCAGTTTAGAAATCATGTCCTGATTTTTCAGCTCACACTCTAGTTTTGAACATTCCGCCATTCATTCCTATGAGACCAATTTCACCACAAAAACGCAGATAGTTCGTGAACCATTCGGCAAAACGTTCCACTAAGTAATAGCGCACCAATCGGGAACAATCCGCACGTTTCCGTATATTACTGTCTATGGAGTGTAAAAACTGTGGGAGGAGTTAGGGGGGTAAATTTGGCTATAATAATAAGAATATATATGTGAGATAACGGGAAGTGGTCACCATGCAAGAACACTTAATGAAAGGTACCAGGGGCATCTCATGGGGTCCCCGGGCAATAGGGGATCATGGGGCCCCTGTGTCCTTGCCCAAACTCAAAAAAGCCTATGAAAAAGGTACCAGGGGCATCTCATGGGGCCCCCTACTGACCCCGGGCCCTCGGGCAGAGCCCGAGTTCCCAAATGATCAGTCCGCCCCTGCACGTACCACATTTTGGCACTGACCCAGACCCAGCCTTGTTTTATCATGTGCATTTTTCCGCAATTTTCACATATTTTTGTCACGCGACGATTGCGTCAGAATCGCACCACATTTGGGGTGCTATTAAGAATGAATAACACTCAAACGCACGTTGTGCTCTTTGCTGCGATTTTAGCGAGATTTGGAAATCCAAGATGCGAACGGAGCCTAAAACCGCGGCGCTGGCAGAAAGAACAAGACCTTAGTGGTCCAAAATCTGGAACGTAATTAAAAAAATAAAAAATATCCTAA